ATACTTAGTATAAGAAAAATGGCAAGCCCAGCTATATCTGTAGGTATTTCCATTTTTAATGAAAAGATACAGTTATACAGAGAAGATATTGACTTGATTTTCATATTTATAACTCAATTTTTAATTTGATGAATTACTGTAGCTTTGGAAAGTGGCAGTTCCATGGTGTCTCTTACCAATTTGTTTAACCAGGCAGGCATTCAGCAATGCCAACTGCACAAAGCATACAGTGTGTGCTTCCCCAGGCAATGCAATATGATAACTTATGCTGCATGAGGATTCTGTAATAACATCTTAGTTTCTAAGTTTCTAGTTTGAAAAACTGAAATGCATGAATTGTCTTTTAAAGAGTTTGTCATTCCTACATTTAAAAATTAAGTTCTTTTTTAAAAAAACACTCAATGATTAGTCCAAATGCCATTGTAATATAACTGCCACCATGTTGCTAGTCCAAGTGTCCTATTGAATAACACACAGCAAAGTAAATTATTAACATCTCCAAAGCATTAAAAACAACAGCTTTCACGATCTACGTGTTTTTTTATTTATGGTTTCAAACCATTTTTTACTTTTTATTAGATCCCTCCTTTCTATGAATCAAGCTCTATTTATTCCTTTTCTTGGTAACATTAGACATAGATGAAAGCAGCTATGAATTGAAAAAGCAAGCCTTTAGAGAAAGAGAACAGAAGTGGGAAGGGTAAAGGGAGAGGAGGAGAGAATCTCGGGCAAACTCTGGGCTGAGCACAGAGCCCAACCTGGGACTTGATTCAGCAACCATGAGATCATGACCTAACTCGAAAGCTGGAGTCAGCTCAACCAACTGCACCACACAGGCACCCCAGGCAATCTAAAACTTCTTATATAAGCTTTTCTGACAACATGCTTGGCCAAGAATACTGTTAGGGTTGATACTGAACTGGGGGTTCATTATCTTATAAACTTGAAGCAAATGTATATTTCTGAAGGAAATCAGCTTATCAATCTCCTAAATATATGGAGTTCTTACGGTCTTTTTATTCAATCAAGTTCTTCAAGATGCCTGTTAAAAACCATGTCATTTACGTAAAAAACAAAGGATAACAAAAAACAAAACTTTTAAATTTTTGGGATGGGAATGTCTTAATTATAAACCAAACTTTTTTCCATTATAATGTATTTCTAATCTGGACCAGCATCTCATTTGCACTTTATAATAACATCTATGTTCTGACTTAAGTAGGTTCTCATCCAGGGCTTTCCCAGGTTATAGGTCAATGCCAAATCAGGATTTGTATGGATGAACCATTCAACTCCCAAGTTCACAGATTCTTGGCCTTTGCAACTTCAGTGAAACCATCCCCCCACCATAAACCTCATTTCAATCACCCATACACATAGCTACTCTTTGGACATTGTCACTATTCAGAACTGCTCTATCCTTTCATTTTAAACTCCTGTTTTTGTCTTTAGTTTGTCTAGAGTTTAACTAATGAGTGTAAGGTCTATATCTATCTTGCTTACACAATCTTTCAGAGCCTTATTTCTTGATATTATATTCTATATTCTATACTTATTTGTTTATCATCTTTCATTCCCCTTATACTATAAAATCCATGAGGGCCTGAACTTTGTTTTAATCACTGCTGTGTCCCCATCCTCTAGTATAGTACCCAACTCATCATATGTGCTCAGTAAATACTAGTTGAATGAATAAATAAATGAATGCTCTGTCAACATGACACCCTGACCATGACCTGTGGCCAACAAATATGCACTGCATAAGTGAATAATGTATAATAATAGCCAATACTTACTGAGTGTTTAAACTGTGCTGGGTGATTCTACTTGCTGTAAATGGATAAATCTCATTTTATTCACAAAATGCCCTATGGACTGTGTGGTATTATAATTGCCATTTTATAGATGAACAAATTTAATTATGCAAACATATAATTAAGCCAAAATAAGTTTAGATACCATGTAATTTCAACTAAGACATAAAGAAAAGAGGGGGGAAAGACCTGAAGACTCCTGCAACTTTCCACAATGTAACAGCAGGCTATGCCTACTGAGGACAGTGGGATGTGGATACCTTAATTCCATCCTCAGCAAAATATTTCTTTACCTCTATCTTTTAAAAATAATGATCATTGTAATGTATCCAAGTTTTGTTTGGGAAACAGTTAGGACAAATGTATAGTCTGTTTCCATGTCCAAATATCTCTAGCGTGGTTGGATGCTACTCACAAAGCAGAAAGGAAGGAGATTCACAATTCTGAGGTGTCTCTTCTCAAGCATTCTCTCCTTTAACCCATTCCCTTTCTGAAAACAAAGTGTACATAATGCTTCAGACCACCAGAACTAGTGAATTAGAACAAATATCAACTAGTGAAATCTCTAAGCAGTGAACTATTTCTACAATGATCAGGCCCTATCCATTTAGTTCTTTAAAGACTACATTTAACACTTTCTTTTTAAAGCATTACATACTTATTGAGAATAGAGTCTTTGCCATCTACAAGAGTGCAATCTTGATCCATATTGAGGATTTTTCCTAGGACTTTCACTTTAGTATTTTGGTTGGGGTAGTTCATGCTAATGATGAAAGAGACAAAGTGTCCTGTTTTGCTTTTGTCTTCCCTCCCACTGGAAAAGTAATCACTGACATTCAATAGCTTAGAGGAAAATTAACCTTACGACTGAATTAAACTTTATGATCTGTGAATTTTAATTAGGTGAGTTTTTCAATTGCTCCTATAACAAGCTAAGTTGTCAAATAGAAATAAACTAAATTGTGGAGAAAAGAATTGATGTCAAAGGTCTAATTTAAAAAATAAAACAAAGTAAAACATGCTGTACCTGAAATGACTAGGACTTGAGTGGTCAACAGCACAGAAGTGGCAATGTATTTTGAAACTTTTATAGTTTAACTTCGAAGAGTCCATTAGACTTCCGTTTGTATAGAAAGAAGGTCAGGGAGAATACCCTGCCACTGCAGGGTACAGTCAAATTTTATCTCTCCAGGAAATCCATCAACAAGGAAAGAAATCAGTCATACGCCATACAAAGTCAAAAACAAAATTAATTTAGGCACTCTGGAGATAAAACCCTTACACACAAATCATTCACTTTTTAACTCCATAGAAAACATAAAGTTGTATTCAACAGGAAGTAAAATATATACATCAATCCCATGCTATTGATTGGTAGATGATAAGGATAAGGATGATGCGTTGCCTTACTTGACAAAGGCTCCTCCTCCCCCTACCATCTACTATCCTAATCTATTTTACTGTTTATTAGCCAATGCATTATTTGACGGGTGTCTCCATAATTAATGATTCCTTCTCTTCTAGTTGAAAAAAAAAAAAGCCCAAAACAAAACACACACATAAAACAAAACCTTCCTTTGACTATACAGCCCCACTAGTTAACATTCTAGCTCTGTCATTTCCTTTTCTACCAAGCTTCTTGAAAATGAACTAACTTTCATTCTATCCTCAAAACACTGTAATCAACCTTCTGTCACTACAACTTCTTCCCAACTCCTTTCAAAATACCACTAATGACTTCTGGTTGCAAATCCAAAGAACAATTTTTAGTTCCTAGCTATTTGATTATTTCTTTTGCAACATTTGCCATTGTCTCCTACTCACTCCATAGGGGTTTCTCATAGACCAGTTTTCCACTCACATTTCTATCTACTTCTCCTCCATCTCATCCATGGACTCCTCTTCTTCCACTATCTACTGAAACAGTGTGCAGTTAAGGATTCTATCCTTTGGTCTTTGAATCCTCTCTGATTCCCAAATCTTTATACCTTAGGTCCCAGAAACCTATATGCAGCTGCCTAGTTAACATGACACATTGTTATTTCTCCATAGACTTTCAAACTTAGCACGTGTCAGAAGGAACTTATCCATTCCTCTACAAATCTTCCCTTCCCCTACACCTCTCTCTAAGTGAATGATCCTGCAATGCACTTGGGCACCAGAGTCAGAAGTCTGGGAGAATTCTGCTCCCTTACTGTCTCTTCCACTGTCATGTCTGTTCAGCATGGCTTTTTTTCCCTATATCTCATAAGTACCCTTTAATATATTCCCTCATCTCAATACCATCTACCTTAGTTTTGACATTTATAACTTCCCTTCTGGATTGTATCAGTAGACTCTATATGTATCTCTTCTTGTCACCCGTGATTTTTCTCCTATCATCTCTCTGCTTTCACATTGCTTGTTTCAAACAAAGTAGATCTAAGCATTTCTTCCCCTGTTTGAATTTTGGTAACATCTAAACATTTTTCCTTCAACATCCCAAAATTTTACAGGAGTCTTATAGTCCAAGGTAAAGCAATTAAACTGTATTTTAGGTGCAGTGAGAGTCACTAGAAAGTTTCATTTAGATGGTGATTGTAATAATTTGATTGACATTTTGATAAAATTATTCTAGCTGTATGAGTGATTATAAGGTGGGAAAATTAGAAGTGGGGACATCATATAGGAGGTTAGCAGTCCAAGTGATTATGGCATGCACAAATGTATGAATTGTAAAGATAGAGAGGAAATTCAAGGAATTCTGTGGAGAAAAAGGTACAGACTTGCTTTGGGGTTTGATATACAGAATAAGAAAATAAGATGCTAAAGCAAGTGGTCAGATAATTGTGCTGATTACTCAATCTGAGAAAAAGAGACTACAATAAGAAGTTTTGGTGGATGAGCATATGGGGATTGGGGAGAATCAGGTGATCTGTTTTAAGACATGTTAAAATTTGAAATTCCTATCAGACGTATCGATGGACTGAACTATGTCCTCCCACTCCATCCATATGGTGAAGGCCTAACTCCCAATATGACTATACTGGGGATAGGAACTTTAAGAAGATAGTTAGGATTAAATGAGGTCATAAAGGTGGGGATGATCTATAAAACTAATGTCCTTTTAAATTCTCTCTCTTTCCCTTACTCTCCCTGTCTCCCTCTTCTCTCTCTTATTCCCTCCCTTCTTTCTGACAGCAAGTCCTCCTGAGGACAGCAAGCCAGGAAGAAAGTTCTCACCTCAAACTGAACCTTGATATTGGACTCTCCAGCTTCCAGAACTGTAAGAAAATATATTTCTGTGGTTTAAGCCTACTTGATACCTAGTCCTTGGTATCTTGTTATAGCACCCTGAGCTGACTAAAGAGACAGCTTGGTGAGATAATAGTTTGATGTATTTCCTTCTTTCCAAGCTCTATTCAAACAACCATGTTATTCTGTACCCAACTGAATGAAGGTAAGGATCTGACTGTAGAATCCAGAGAAAAGGAGACTTCTTGGCTTTGGATCCTTTTAAAACATGAAAGAGTGCCTAGCATGGATAGAATGACTGAACAAGACATTATGCAGATCAGGCCTTTGCTCTAGCATGCCCTCACACCACCCCTCCGAAATCCTATTCCCTTTCCTGATAGACATAAAAGAAGATATTCCCTGAGATGAAAAGGAACAAAGAAATGGCAGTGACGAGAGTAGAGAGGTTGGTGGTACAGGTCAAGAGGGCTAGACCTAAATGGGCCACATGGACGGGAAAGGGGACTAGCTTAGCAAAGGAATTAGCACTGAGGAACATTGCTAAAATACATAGGAACCATGTGGAAGTCATAACCTGATGAATGCCCTGGCCTACTTTTTATGCAATCACAGTCCATCCCTTGTGCCCAGAGGTTATGCAAGCTGTTCTTTTCATCAATGTCTAATAAAGGCATCTCTTCAATAGCTCCTGGCACTTCTCCCAGCCACTGCTCAGCAGGAGTGACACCTGTTGGTTCTTCAGATTTTGCTTGACTCTTCTCTGACTTACCCCATATGGACAAGTACACAAATCATTTTTCAATATCCCAGTGACTCATAATACTTGAGAAAGCCCAGAATAGTTAGTGGGGAGATGGTGGTCTGGAAGAGAGACTTCCTACACCTGTAGTGAGTGGAGTAGAATAACAAATGAGGCCACCTCGTGATACTTCCCAAACTGAGACAGTGATGAAATTATTCAAGTAGGTAGTTGGATATGATTCTGAAGTTCAAAGGAGTCACAACACAACAGAGAAATATAAAACCATGGAAATGGATGAGATCACATAATGAGAAAGTTCAGCCAAATAAAAAGGGAAAGCCAAGTCCTAAAAAATAATAATCATTAGAGAGAGCACCAAAGAATAAAAGAAGGAATGGCTGGTGTGGTAGGAATATAATCAGGAAAACAGATACAGAAAGCAAGGCCAAAGAGGGCTCTGATAAGGGCCTACATGTTATGTTGTAGGTTGGTGACAGGTCTAGTAAAACAAGAGCAGAAAAAGAGTTTATAGGTTTCAATGACATAAAGATCAGCATCAATGAAGATATAGGAACAGAGCCAGATTGGAGCAGATTGAAAAATGAAGAAGAGTGAGGAGGTACAGGCAGAGTGTGTAGATAGCTGTTTCAGTAAATTTGGATGTAATATGGGCCATAGAAATGGGTTAGTAGTTAAAGTGCTTAAAAACCAAACATACTCTCTTTTCTCCTCCATCTTTTGGTTTTTCAACATGGGAAATATTGGAAGATGTTTACATTTGTGGAAATGCCCCAGCAAAGATGGAAAGATTAAGTATAAGAAACAATAGTAGAAATAGATTTCTATATAAGGCAAAAGTAGAGGCATTGACCTTTGATTAAAGGAGAGATACTTCTTCCAACACAGCAGGAAGGAGCAAGGCAAAGAGTGCAGATGCAGGTAGCCTGTAAGTTTGGTGGTGGGAAGATGAGGAAGTTATTATAAGGTCTCCTATTTATTTTTTTAAAAATGAGGCAAGATTATCAACTAAGAGTATATATTTAAAAGGCAGGAGAAGAGGGAGATTTAAGGGGAGAAGAAAAACTGGTAAGAAATGTCTTGAATTCCAAACTGAGCCTAAAGAAAGACATAACAGAACTACTGAGCATCATTCAGACCTTATTTGGAATATATAGTCACAAATTTTAAATGAATCCATTAGCCTAGTTGTGTGACCCACTACCTTCAACAGTGGTTTGGGTCCAGAAGAGAAACAAGAAAGACAGATTCTCTTTTCATGTGTACAGTGGAGGGAGAAAGGAAAAGAATCTGAGGGCATTTGACTATGACTCTTCTCTGAGATAACACTGTTTCCTGTGTATACTTTGATTGTATTTATTATCACTCAGAACTGTGATTGTTGGTATGTGCATGCTTTGTAATTAGACCATGAGAACACTTTGAATAGTCTATATTTCACCTCTATAGTTTCAAAAATCAGTTGGCACTAAAATGTTTGCTGGAGTTCATAGAAAAACCTTGGGAAATAACGTCAATATAAAAAAAAAAGCCATTAGATTCTTCTAAATTTCAGGAGATAGAGTGGACTTTAGCACCTTAGTTCCCATAGATTTAGGAAGCACAACCTTAAACCTGAAATGATTAAGCCCTAAGTGAAGAATTGTCATCAGAGCAGAGAATGCTGAAAAAGCATGAGTCCAAAGAAGAGCAGTGAGCCCTGAAGACTAATGCCTTCTTCAACATGGGCAGAGGTAATGTAGCATTGAGAAAACAACCCTCTGATGGTTAATGGCTACATGATCTATTTCAGCATGCTAGGGTTTCAGGGCTAAGGGGTGTTTTACAACCACCAAAAGAAGCTCCTTGCTGTAACACAAGTTAAAATATGCTGAGCACAGGGTTTTCATTACAAGAGACCTTAATAACTTACATAGCTTGTCTCACCACAGCCAAAAGTAGTTTCAGGGAGTGCTATAGGAAATTGGCCATTGGAGGGGGTATGAAAGATGGGGAGAGTGAAGTGACTACATGATAAAAGATCACTTCCATAGATATTTATTTAATATCTACTGTGTTCCAGGCACCGTAGTATACTGTAAAACTTCAAAGTATACAGCTTATGTCCAGACAGCCTGCTCTATTTAATCAGGGGCAATGTGTTGTGTTTATTGTGTGCACCTCTGTGTATATAATAAATTGTATTTACTTAAATTCTATGTCAATTTTTCCTAGAAAATGTTCCTTAGAATACTGGAGTCCCAGGAGATATTAATAAATGTTCTAGGGAGAGGAGAGTTTCCAAACACAAATAAGTTTTGGAAGCATTAGGTTAAACAATGGGTTTCCTTATGGCAGAACATCTAGAAGACTCTAAAGGGCTAATAAGTATTAGTGTTTTCTAAGAAAGGGGGAGAAAAGTAGTAAGTCGGCATTGCCAGACTTACTTGGTTATGGTCTTTTTTCACAAAACAACTTTTAATGCCTCAGAGGATTCATGTTTCATTGCTTGTGAAATTCTAAATTGTCTAATGTATGTTTTATATTACATATATATAGTGTGTATTATATATTCATATGTGTTAATTATCTTATTTTCCTATTATAGCCCCAAATTTGAACAAATTGAATACTTTATTAATCACAGGAACCATCAGTTCATTTTAAGAAGATGTTTTCATTCTAAATTTAGATATTCTAATCAGCAACCAATAGTTATAATTATACATATTCTTAAGAAGTTCATGAAAAGGACAATGGACTAAGTAAGAAGGTATGAAATATTTTATCTCAAACTAGAGCACCAAGTAAACCTTCAAGTCCCAGGAAAGATACATTTCAAAATATCAATTAATCCAAGTATTTTATAATATGCAAGAATGTTAAGATTATTTCAAAGCCTTGGACACTCAGTAAAATGATACTCGGTGCCTTACCCAGAGACTTTTATCCTTAAATGTCATAATATTCTAAAAATATTTAAGTCAATTTTACAAATAACTTTCAAAATTCATTATGCCCACAGAAACTCAGTTTGACTAATTGGACCTGTCCATACTTCTTAATTTTAACTAAGTATTCCCATGTTTCATATGATATTAGGTATTCCCATGTTTTGTATGATATTATTCATCTTCAGCTGTGTACTGCCAGACGAAGTAACTGAAGCCCAAGTGCGGCAATTACACAGTTAATATAAATGCATGACTCTCAAATGATTCAGGGATATCCATTACATTTCATGAGGGAGTTCCCTTCAGGGATTACATTAACCATATCTGTTCACTTTGGCACAACTGGCATGGACTTAAAGGCAGTTTATCATGGAAGTAATTTAAAGTCAAGAAAGGGTCAATGAGGCCCTGAAGAGTATAAAAATAGTGAGACTCTGAAGACTCCAGTAGCAGGCCATTTAAACAAAATTAAGGAAGGATATAAAAGAGATTATGTACCATACATTTTAAATGCAGGGAGTTTTAAAAAATCATCATAGACCTTAAGAACCTGTAGTGGTTCCTCATTATCTGCAAGATCAAGTCCAGACTTTCTCATCTGGCTAACAAAATCTTTCACTGGTTGGTTGGTTGGTTTGTTTGTTTGTTTGTTTAGATAGTTATTTCAAGATTTATTTATCTATTTCAAGATTTATTTATTTATTTTATAGAGAAAGAAAGAGAGAGAGAGAGCACAAGCAGGGAGGGGAGCAGGGAGAGGAAGAGGGAGAGGGAGAAGATCTTAAGCAAACACACTGCTGTGTGGAGCCAGACTCCAGGTTTGATCCCATGATGCTGAGATCATGATCTGAGCTGAAATGGAGAGTCTGAAGCTCAAGAGACTAAGCCACCCAGGCACCCGACCTTGTATTTCTTTCATTTTCTTCCCTTACCATACTAGCCTGCTCCTCACTTTCCCTTTCCTCAAAAACACCCATTCTTCCCACACCTTTGCCCACTCTTCCTTTCACCTGGGATTCCTTCTCCTCCTCCCTGCCTCTGAAGATTCAGGGCAGATCTTGCCTCTCCTCTGAAGATTTCGTTAATATGTAAATTGAGATATAAAAAGATATAAATTACCTGAGATCACATCACCACTTACTATTGATATGATTTTGTCAGGAGTATGAATATTTTCCTCTCCCCCCCAAAAAAACTTTCCTCTCCCTGCTTTAACTCTGCTTAAAATTATATTTAATTAAAAGACATAGAAGGGAACTTCAGCCGATTTTAGTTTTAAAATCTCTACAAATAATGTGTTGACATATAAAAATTTTCCAAATTCTGCCTTAGCTCTCTGTAAACACAAAAAATATACACCTTTATATTTAGAGACTACTGTAGTCAGCTTGAGCTGCTGCAACAAATATTCCATAGGATGGGTGTTTTATAAACAACAGAAATTTATTTCTCACAGTTCTGGAGGCTGCAAGTCCGAGATCAATGTGTTAGCTAGTTGGGTTCTGGTAAGAGCCCTCTTCTGGGTTGCAAACTGCCAACTTCTCCTCATATCCTGACAAAGCAAACAGAGGGCAGGCTACCCTTCTGGCCTCTTCTTTAAGGGTAGGAATCGAATTCATGGGCTCCACCCTCTTGACCTAATTACCTCTCAGTGGCCCCACCTCCAAATACCATCACTTGGAGATTAAGTTTCAACATACATTGAGTTCATAACAGAGACCATTGTCATTGATTTTGTTTAAATGGTTCTTAACAATGGCAATGGCTAGGAGAGTCTTACCCAACAGTGTTTCCTAAAGTCATAAATGTAAAGCCTAGAAGTACCTAGACTACCTCCAGACCCTAATGTGAGTTTCATTAATTCTAACACTGAAATTTTCTGATCCTTCTCTTGGAACTTCAAAAGCTGTCACATTAACTCTCCAAATTTCCCTGAAAGATAACAGGGCTTTTTATTTTAGGGGATAGTCACCACATCTTTACTCTTCCCCCATTAGTTACATGAAAGTTACATTGTGCTTCCCCTAGTGTCAGTTCTGAAAAGACTAAATGGTTTCAAACATTTGTCTAGAATATGTAGTGAACACTTACTCTGGTAATGGCCTAATCTGAGAATTTAATATTTCATTTAGAGTAGTAAGTAGAGACAATACAATGGAACAGTTAAAGCTATTGGCTATGGAGTCAGTACATAAAGCCAGTAGTCTTAACTGTGATACTGTACTGATACTGTAAACCAACCTCATGCTGTATGATCAGCTCTACTATGAGCCAGGCATGTGAATATATAAGAAGCATAGAAAAAATGATCACAGAGTTGATGATGATGTTGAAAACAATGATGATGAAAAAGACAAACCTCTGAACAGAGAACTAAAATTCCATCAATAAAGTTGCAAGTTCTTTCTCCATGGTGGATATTTAATAAATTGTTGCTTTATTTGGACTTTCTTAGACATACACTTCAGTTGGGAAAAAGTACAAACATTTGTAGAACATCCTGGAAGACATTTTATTGTAAAGACTTTGAGGGGTAAAATGAAATTTTCTACTTATTTCAAACAAAAGGTCAATGACAGTTCTGGACATATAGTCAATGCTCAAGGACTGAAGTTAATCAAAGTTGAGTAGTAAATACATACCCTAAATACTTTGTCCTGGTCAGAACTAGGGGAGTAGTACATCTTGTCTTATACTTTCTTACATATTTGTCTTTTATATTTTTGGAATTAATGTTTTGTGGTTTTCACAATTTTCCAGGAATTGCATAATAGTTTGATTTTGGCTTAGATACAAAATATAACTGAATATACCATGGGATTGGTTCACTGGATGTAACCTAACCTGCTAGGAAGCATCCACTTTTCAGTGTAGTTAATTATTTTTTTTCATTTTGATCATAAATATGGAAATTTCTGATATCATGAAATTTATTTCTTGGAAAAATATCCTAGCAAATAAAATCAACCCATAGTTGATGTGGTGGGAATCAAGTCATTGCCCAAGAATGATATTGAGTAAAGCAGGTAAATATGAGGAAACATATCCTAGTGAGACAGGAAGGCATTCAGGATAGTGCTAGCAAGTTTTCTTGTCTACACACACACACATTTCACTAATCCCTTTTTGCTTGAGTCTACTGTTAGTGATTAGGGACAAAATACAAGTTTTAGATAAATTATGAGAACAAATAGCAAATTTGTTGTTGGCTCTATGATATGAATGATTCTACCCTGTGTTCTATTAGAAATAAGAAAAAATAATTTGTAAAATTATTTCAATAGGTGTTGTAGTCTATGTAAAACTATGAGTGAAAAAAATAGTGAATATTGTGAAGGTGTTAAAGTAGAAGAACATGCTCCCAAAATGTGTGGCTCTCAAAAATAAATTTTATTTGGGAAAAGTCAAGAGCCTGTAGAAATATATCTCTAAAACTATAGCTAGCAAATTACTAGTTCAGGTACAGAAATAATTTTCATCATGCAGCATTTTTTTTTAATTTGAAGGAGGACCATATAACTTTACATAATGTAAACTGGAAAGGCAGCATCTTTGGACCATAACCTCATACATATGGTATCCTCCCAAGCTAAAGAAACACATAAAGAAGTTTAAATAGCATTCAGCCTCAAATGAAACTGGTTGGAAGAAATTGCCTTGGTAAGAATACCCAGTGGAGATAGAGCACAAGTTTTCAGGTGGCCCAAAACAAAGTGACTTCAACTTTACGGCAGTGCAATTGACAGCCTATTCAAGCCAGGCTTATTTAACATTCTACAAAATGCAGAGATCCAAAAGGCCATATTTCCCTGGCAGACATCTATGAAAGTGTGGATCATGGTAGGTCTCTTTTGAGACTAATTTAATGAATGTTTTAGCCAAAAGTATAAATACATATTGCTTCCCATAATGTGGATTTATAGTTCTGCCAATAATATACCAAATATGCACAAGCTCTTCCATTTTTATGATAGAGTGTCAGTTAATATGGTTTTCCCTTCCCCTAATATCATGACTCTCTCCCAGTCTTCCAAAGCAAGGTATGATGACATAAACACTATGGGGAAAAAAATCTAAGTACTGACACCATTTTTTGGAAGAATTCTTCTATTACCACATTGCTAAATGATTGATGAACATTAAGTCATTAGTGGGTAAGATGAAATCTAAAAAGAGAATTTTTTAGAAAACTATGTGGTTGGAGGTGGAGTTCCAGCCGCAGAAAACAGTGTGATGCCCATTATGAGAGTTACACGGAGAGTGGGGAGGAGTCCATGGACACCAATGTAGGTCATGAAAAGCTGATTAAAGTGCAGAAAACAAGGGAACTGGTTTCAAAGTGGCAACAATTACAATACTAAAGCATTAGACCAAGTCGTTTTGGGTCTTTGAAAATATATACTAAGGCTTTCTAATATGCTAATGCAAGGTTGCTAACACATACATTTATTAGTCATAACTGATAAATATGTTGGCTGCCCTCCAGGAAATGCATGAATAATTGCAAATGGCAAAGTGATAATTATCATTCATAATAGTCTTCAGTCACCTATTATTTCACAAGTCACCTCCCTTCTGGTATTCTTCCATAAAGTGCTGTGCCATTTTATCCCTTCTATCCTCTATCACCTGCTTCTTCTTAGGTAGAGGCTCCCTTTATATTTTTGTTTGTTTTTTGTTTGTTATTTCAGTTCCCTCCTGATAATGGGTCACTACACAGGGGGTGGAGATTTTGGCAAATGTGTCTTTGCTTCTCCTACCTGTCTCAGTGTGATCCTTCGATCCTTTGTTATGGGTAAGGTGTTCAGCTGGTTCTCGGGTTCTTTTCAGAGGGACTTATTCCAAATGTAGCTGCATATTTGTTGGGTCTGTGAGTCCTGAGTTCAGGATCTCCCTACACCGCCATTTGAATCACCTCCCCTAGGAAGTATTTTAATAGCAGATGTCAATATAACTACATCACCCTCAACTAAAAGTTACACTTATTTACAGCAAATTCATTCTGAATTCTGATTAATCAGCACTGTAATGAAGACATTCAAAAATGTAATTCTCATTTGGAGCCATCATCCACTCCCATTTACGTTCATAGTCATTGTCCATCAGCTTGTGTATGTGAACTAAAGAACAGATCATGGCTTCATGAGTTTCTAAATACTTAGGGCTCCTGAAGGATTTTACTTGGAAAATGAATTATGTTGATCCAAAATTATTTTTAAAAATTTTAAGCTCCTGTTTGATTAATATAAAATATTTTTTTTAAGTAGCTATTTTGGGGGCACCTGGTGGCTCAGTGGGTTAAAGCCTCTGCCTTCAGCTCAGGTCATGATCCCAGGGTCCTGGGATTGAGCCCCACATCAGGCTCTCTGCTCAGCAGGGAGCCTGCTTCCCCATCTCTCTCTCTGCCTGCCTCTCTGCCTACTTGTGATCTCTGTCTGTCAAATAAATAAATAAAATCTTTAAAAAAAAACTTACTAGGAAATACACATAATAAAGTATTGTTTAGAAAGGTGCATTTTGTTTATGATTATTAATTTAAATGCAATCATCAATCAAAAGTTAAATGCAAGGGATGTGGAGAAAGGGGAACCCTCTTACACTGTTGGTGGGAATGCAAGTTGGTGCAGCCACTTTGGAGAACACTATGGAGATTCCTCAAGAAATTAAAAATAGAGCTTCCCTATGACCCTGCAATTGCACTACTGGGTATTTACCCCAAAGATACAGATGTAGTGAAAAGAAGGGCCATCTGTACCCCCAATGTTTATAGCAGCAATGGCCACAGTCGCCAAACTGTGGAAAGAACCGAGATGCCCTTCAACGGACGAATGGATAAGGAAGATGTGGCCCATATACACTATGGAGTATTATGCCTCCATCAGAAAGGATGAATACCCAACTTTTGTAACAACATGGACGGGACTGAAAGAGATTATGCTGAGTGAAATAAGTCAAGCAGAGAGAGTCAATTATCATATGGTTTCACTTATTTGTGGAGCATAACAAATAGCATGGAGGACAAGCGGAGTTAGAAAGGAGAAGGGAGTTGAGGGAAATTGGAAGGGGAGGTGAACCATGAGAGACTATGGACTCTGAGAAACAATCTGAGGGTTTTGAAGGGGCGGGGGGTGGGAGGTTGGGGGAACCAGGTGGTGGGTATTAGAGAGGGCACGGATTACATGGAGCACTGGGTGTGGTGCAAAAACAATGAATACTGTTACGCTGAAAATAAATTTTAAAAATTAATAAAAAAAAGTTAAATTCAATTATCAATCAATTCAAGTTAAAATCTGTAATATCTTTATCTTGTGAAAAGGGAATATTTTTGTCTATTGTTTTGTTTCCTATTTGTTACAATATTTAATGGGGAGTAAATAAGGAAAGCACATAGCCTACTGATCATGACTAAATATTAAAAAGCTTTTAAATTAATAATTATTTAAACTTATTCAAATAAAACCTAAATTCACCAGATTTTGTAGATGTATGCTGTAATCATCATCAGATTCTGCAACTTAATATATATTTAAATTTGGGTGGGGTTTTTTTTTACCATTAAACATAGCTTGAGCCCATATTTCACAAAGCCTTGGGAATGATTCAAGCCAAAAAGAAAAATATATATATTAGTTGAATTTAATTCTTTTCAGCCAGTTATGCCTAGGGAAATACATATTGGAATGTAGACAGTTCTCATGTGTTTGAAGTGAAAAATTAGTGAGAAAGTAGCAAGTTTGTGGAACTTGGTAATAAAACTATTGGTAACTTCTTAAATCCATAAAAGTTAAGTCTAAGGAAAAGTTGGCAGAGAGCAACTGATTTTCAAACACAATGAATTCATCACAGGTTGAACCTCCTCAGTTACCATGACTGAAAGGCAAATGACCAGGAGTGCTTACTGAGGAGTTCACTGCCCATTGAAAACACATGACTCTTAAAACTTCTGTTTATGCATAGAAGTGTGACTTTAAGGACTGGAGAAATCTATTTTAACAAAAGCTAAACTTTTCTGAAACTTAAGACCACCCTGTGCTATTACTTTCTCAGTTCCCATAAAATAAACTAGGCCTTATTTTGTCATTACTTAAAAGAAAGACCACCAAAGAAAATCCAAGGTGCAATTCCACGCAGTGATTCAATAGATTCAATAAATAGTCCTTTTTGTGGAGTCAACATTTAATTCTGCCTTCAAACTAGTGTTCAAAGCTGTTGTAACCACACACACAGTCTATGTGGATTGGTCTGGTTCCCTGATGTTGAATTCAGATCCTGACCCTTTGGACATTGTGGAGAAGTCAAGGATTAAAAGTGGAAATGCTGCAAGACTGATTCAACTCAAAGGTGTTGGAAAAGTAGCAGGCTTTGGTATACAATAGCATATGCAGTCAGATCAGAAATGTATTCAGATCATTTCTGGAGGGACTCTTGGCTCCCTCCCTTGGTACTGCTAGTCTTAGACAATTCACTTAACATCTATGATCCTTGGTTTCCTCATCTGTAAAGCAGAAATAATAATCCCAACTTCATAGAGTTCCTGTATGGAGTAAGTAATCTATAATCTATGTAAATTTTCCTACACACAGGAAATGTTAGCTTCCTTTCATCCCTATTTCTGGGAACCTGTTTTTGCCAAACACCAGTTCAAATAGTCTGGCAACAGTTAGGTAACAACAAAAAGGAGGAGGAAATGAAGATATGAAGTGATGAAAATTAGGACTAAAAAATAGAGGAGGCAAGGTAGTATAGTCAGTAAAATGCACTTGTTGCTATTCTGCTCAGATTTTTTTTTTCTTTACGCTCTAAGCTTTCTGTCATTGCATTACTTGATATCCAATAATTTCCAAGGAAAAACAAACAGAATACACTTCACCAAAGCACAGTTTACCCAAGAAACCACAGACTCCAGGTGTTGTGTTTTTATATATACAATATGTGCACCTTCTAGGTTAATAGGCAAAGAAATTCCCAAGTGATGTGAAAGATTCCAATTACTAGAATGCCTTTATTCTGTTTTAAATTATATGGCATAAAACCAGTCACACTAACTTTCTGGCACATGCACGTACATGCACACACACACACACACACACTTTTCAACCTTAGTATTATCATTTGTATTATTTCATTTATTCCTTTTTTCACAAAGCATTTAACCTTGAAAAGACTCCACTAGTCCATCATCAATAGATCGTTTTAAGATAATACCAAAAAAAGACAAAACTTTTATTTTAAAGTCAAGTCTTATGATAACTATACTCAGAGAACAATGTGCTTTATACAGAAAAAGAAAAGAAAGAAAGAAAGAAGAAAGAAAGAAAGAAAGAATAGGAAAGGAAGGAAGGAAGGAGCCACTTGAATATGGAATTCTGAAAAGGGGTCACTTCCTTGGTTTGGGTTACTTTGGACACCAGAATTTTGTCTATAAAGCTGCCCGGTGCAAGTATCTAAGTATAATATTTACATGGGCTTTTAAGTAGAAACTTTATGAGAATGACTAAAGGATTTATTTATTCATGACTAAATCCATATTCTATGATAAGAGCTATGTTTCTATTTGGCACTTCTGTATAAACTAATGATGTAATAGTCATCATTCTGATATTTATCTTTAGTTTCTTCATATTAAGGAATTGGTGGTAACCCATATCCAAAGGTGGGA